TAGAATATAAATAAATGTTATACAATCCAAATGGAAAATTACAGAATACAAATGAAAAATTATACAATACAAATGAAAAATTATAGAATATGAATACAAATTATACAATACAAATGGAAAAATATACAATGTAAATGGAAAAGATCGAATATTGCAACGTTTGACAAGCCATAGCTATGATTGCGATTAATTTTTGAACCGAGAGAGGCTATTGAATAAGTTGATGTTACAGGGATTTCAACAACCTCGTTGCATGTTAGCATTTCTCAAATTCTGTGGTCGTAATGATGACTGTTAGCAAATCTAACCTATCATTGGGTCGTATTTTGACCAACATATTTCATTGTTAGACCTTTGTTTTATACTAAATTTGATAACGGATTATTCCGTCTACCTGATCAATACTTTCGGCGGATGCGACTGGTCGACAGGAAAAGCTTACTCCTCTCCACCTCTAGAATTTCAAGGGGTCCGTGTTCTATGCCCTGTTTACAAATTTGTATTGTTCGTATTTTTTAATGTCGATCACTTTTCATTATTTTCACTTATTTTATTACAAAAGTACTATCGGCATTCGCTCACATTTCCGTCCTTATGAACATATAAATTGTAAGCAATCTACAAAAATCGACCTATCTTATGAAAAATTATACCATAATTGGAATTGAAGTTTTCACAATTTCATTAAAAACGCTTTTTTCTAATATATCTCGATTAATTTCTTGTCAGTTAAACTTTTTTTTTATGAAATATTTAAAAAGTTCGCGTTTTTCTGGGACAACCCTTGTACAAGCATTTATGAAAATTCAGTAAAACTGGTCTCCATATCTTACGATAATCCAATAGTCACCAAAGCACCTACCAATAACATTATCAACATATAAATTACGGCATTTATTGAACAGTTTGAAAACCAGCTGTGATAGGAGAGTAATCCATAGTTTCTGCAATAAAGATAAACCTTAAAAAAAGAATCATGACTAAATGTCATAAAAACGTCCTTCTATGACATTTTCAACAACGAAAAATTGCATTTTATAAATTGTACCTATTTTGACAATTTACAAAATTCACGACCTCGATAAAATACAGAATGCTTCTCCATACGAACGAAAATATTTTATAAGACAACCACTAGAGAATTTTATTTTCTGAAAATCTTTTTTTCTCTCTCTCTCTTCAAAAAATTAATTCATCACAAAGGAACTAAATTTACAAGAAGGATCGCCCTAGTGTCATTCAATATTTTTAAAGCATCAAAAGCACTTCAATTTTGTCACAAAAGGCAATCGCTGTAAACAACAAAGAAATGTGAATATATTATTTATTTCGTAAGCTAAAACACGTAACATGTACAAATGAAATATCAAGATAGCGAACAGTAATGAAGCTCAAAAGTCCATTGGAAGGTGCCGTGGGGGAGTAAGCATCTCCTGTCGACCGAGCGGTCACACCCACCGTGTGTTCTTTGTCTTGAAAGCCTAACAATTTGTATTTAAAAAAAATTCAGTCAACATTCCATTTAACGATAGATTGTATTTACTTCCAAGGTTATTGTATCGATCAAAGATTGTTGAATCTAAATGGGACTCTTGATATTATTGTAACATCAACTTATTTGTCATTAGCTTGTCTTGTTTTAGGAATTGTTTGTACATAGAACATGCTCTGTGTGTCTAATCAATTTGAAGACATAAACTCCATATGAAGATGATAATGGTATATTGCTACATATACAAGGGAAGTTGACGATAGAAATGTTGAAGTCCTCAAGTTTATCAAATAATTGTATTCTTAGGTTGTCATTAATGTCTTTTTATAGTAAAATATCCAAATATGAAACTGATGTGTCAGACTCTATGCTGTCTTTTATTTTGAGTTCAGAAAGGTAGATGGATTTAATGTAAGAATGAAAATGAAAATCATTCATCAATGAAACATCGTCGATATGTTTAAATGTTGAGTTGAACGCCCCATCAAGAGACTTTTTCTTTTCATGTACAACTTTTGTTTAATAAATTCTGCTTTATATGTATACAAAATAGGTCTGCTGATAACGAGAAGCAATTAGTACCCAAGGGAATTCCAACAGATTGTTGGAAGACTTGATCCCCAAAAACTATATAGATATTGTCAATCAGAAACTCAAGCATCTTTTTAACATCAACTTTGTATTAATTGTATGTAGAATCAGTATGATTTATGACAAAATAATTTTGAAGATGACCAATGACAATCAGGGTACGTGCGAAAGAAAATGATTTTATTACATATACATATACAGTATACATATCAGAGAGAACGAATAATAATTGGAATGCACAAAACGCAGAACATATGGACAACTAGAAATACGCTGAAAAAGATGCAAATCAATTCATTGAAAGGAAAGAAAAAATGTTAATCATTTTCTACTTCAGGAGAAGATTTTGAGAAAAAGGGAGGGAGAGTATTCTTTTCCATATTATTTCAGTAAACTAATAAAGAGTGCATTAAAGAAAGACTTATCAAGAAGATGAAACTCATAAAAAAACAAGAGGCCCAAGGGCCTTAACGGTCACCTGAGTATAATACAACAATTTAGAGGATCCATATAGTATAAATTGAACTGAAAGGTGAAGCTTTGTTGCCCAAAAGCAAGAAAAATAGGGTGATCAGGATCAACAAAATAATTAATCTAGTATTCATTGACAGTTTATAAATTAGGTTCTAATCTGTTTCCCATTTATCACTTTCACTATACAGTATATTAAAAACCCATCAGTGCTTCTGTACTATTTTAATTTCTTGTTGAAATCTCTTACATTGGCCTCTCTTGGTCTTTGATGAACATTTAATAAGACAAGTTATTTTTGTTCCATTTTTATTTATCTATTACTTACAAGTCTACCTGATCATTAAAACTATGAAAATACTTTTTGTATTATAAAAATTCTTGCATAATTCTCTTATTCTATTAACCTTTCAAGTACATTGTTGCCAGGGGCAGAGAAGATTTTCAAAGAAAAAATTCACCTTCACTATAGGATCTATATAGCCCCACCCTATAACCAGAACCCCTGTCCATGGGGCCATGAATTTCAAAATATTGGAAGAGGCACCACTGCTTATCATAACAATGTACTTTGTTTGTTTCAAAAATACCCAGGAGCAGAGAAGAAAATTTTTAAAGCATTAATGCATTTTCACTACATAATAAATAGAGCCCGGCCCTAACATCAGAACGCCTGAGTCAGGGGTCATGAAAATCCCTATTTTGGAAGAGTCACCCATGCTTATCATAACTATGTATTCAATTTGTTTCAATAATACCCAGGAGTAGAGAAGAAGTTTTTTAAAGTGATAATGCACTTTCACTAAATGATCTATATAACCCCCCCTCCTCCTAGCACAAGAACCCCTGAACCTTGGGCCATGAATTTCACAATTTTGGTAGAGTCACCCTTGCTTATCATGACTATGTATTTAATTTGTTTCAATAATACCCAGGAGTAGAGAAGAAGATTTTCAAAGAAACAATGCACTTTCACTATATGATCTGTATAGCCCCGCCCCAGCACCAGAACCCCTGACCCTGGGGCCATGAATTTCACAATTTTGGTAGAGTCACTCTTGCTTATCATAACTATGTATTTAATTTGTTTCAATATTACCCAGGAGTAGAGAAGAAGATTTTCAAAGAAAAAATTCACCTTCACTATAGGATCTATATAGCCCCACCCTATAACCAGAACCCCTGTCCATGGGGCCATGAATTTCAAAATATTGGAAGAGGCACCATTGCTTATCATAACAATGTACTTTGTTTGTTTCAAAAATACCCAGGAGCAGAGAAGAAAATTTTTAAAGCATTAATGCATTTTCACTACATAATAAATAGAGCCCGGTCCTAACATCAGAACGCCTGAGTCAGGGGTCATGAAAATCCCTATTTTGGAAGAGTCACCCATGCTTATCATAACTATGTATTCAATTTGTTTCAATAATACCCAGGAGTAGAGAAGAAGATTGTCAAAGTAATAATGCACTTTCACTATATGATCTATATAGCCCCCCCCCTCCTCCTAGCACCAGAACCCCTGACCCTGGGGCCATGAATTTCACAATTTTGGTAGAGTCACCCTTGCTTATCATAACTATGTATTCAATTTGTTTCAATGATACCCAGGAGTAGAGAAGAAGATTTTCAAAGAAATAATGCACTTTCACTATATGATCTATATAGCCCCGCCCTAGCACCAGAACCCCTGACCCTGGGGCCATGAATTTCACAAATTTGGTAGAGTCACCCTTGCTTATCATAACTATTATTCAATTTGTCTCAATAATACCCAGGAGTAGAGAAGAAGATTTTCAAGGTAATAATGCACTTTCACTAAATGATCTATGTAGCCCCCCCCCCCCCCTCCTAGCACCAGAACCCCTGACCCTGGGGCCATGAATTTCACAATTTTGGTAGAGTCACTCTTGCTTATCATAACTATGTATTTAATTTGTTTCAATAATACCCAGGAGTAGAGAAGAAGATTTTCAAAGAAATAATGCACTTTCACTATATGATCTATATAGCCCCACCCTAGCACCAGAACTCCTGACCCTGGGGCCATGAATTTCACAATTTTGGTAGAGGGCTCAATGCTTATTACAATCATGCCAACAGTTTGACTGCTTGATGTCCAGGAGTAAAGAAGAAGATTTTTAAAGATTGCATTAATTTTGGTGGTTTTAGCCCCATCCCTCAGGCCCCAGGGGGGCAGGGATCATGATATTCACAAATTTTGTTCCCCTTCACACATAGATGCCATATGCTAAAATTGGCTGAAATTGATTCAGCGGTTTCAGAGAAGAAGCTGAAAATGTTCAAATGTTAACACACGACGCACGACGGATGACGACGGACGAAAACAGATAGCAATAGGTCACCTGAGTGACTCAGGTGACCTAAAAACCCAGTTGAATTCATTTTAAATTTAAAACATTTAAAACATTGAATTCTCAGAAATACCAGGACCTAACGCATAAAATACATAAAATAAAAATTCTTACCATTCTTATTCCAATGATAGGAATTATTTTCTCCTACACAAAATATTCTTTTCGTTTTTGTCGGAATCCATGAGTAAAGGTAAGAAATTTTGAAATTCTACTTTGAAATCAATATTTTGCATAATTTGAAAATACACTGCAGTTCAATAATAAGGATATAAAATTTCCAGCATACGACTACGTCCCTGAGTTATCTTTATACATTCATAAAGAACAGAATAAACAAAATTTTGAAACGACTAATGTTATCAAATATATGTCTGCAATTTGAGAGAGAGAGAGAGAGAGAGAGAGAGAGAGAGAGAGAGAGAGAAATATGACGCCATTCATACACAACAGCCAGAATTTAATGCCCAGATTGAAAAACTAACTAGGGCTCGTAGCAGACATTCTTTGTCGGACATGTATGTGTGACGGTTGTCTGAACTGTCGTGTATCTCCTTGGGTCGGAGAGCCGGAAAACACAACACAAACTCGACCATAGCATATCTCGAAACTGTTTGCTCATCGCACAATAAAGGACTATATTCACTGAATTATTTATCAAACATATCATGTCGATTGTATCTCCCAACAAAATGTAGTCCAAATAGTCTTTGTTGACATAACTTATGACTAAAACAATCGTTTGGGGAAGTTCAGATATAATGTACATAAGAATTATAACTAACAACATGGCGGTCGTTCTCGTGTGCTGCTTCAGCCTCGCTTTGGTTTGAGCACCTTTCAGCTTTTCAGTCCTTTTCTTGCTTTTGTGCAAGGTACAAACTAATAGAATACCGAACACGATTATCAAAAGACAAGGAATCCATTTTCCAACCACAAGGAATATCCAAACAAAAGCGGTTTGTAATGGCGAAAGATTTGGTGATTGAATCTCAAAACTTTGAAGCCTATAAACTTCTGTCGAGTTTACATTTACAATCTTTGTAGTTACATATTTTGGAATATACGCAATTATTGAAAGTGTGAACACAATGGTGACAAGAATACACGATCTTCGCTCATCTGCACCAGGTTTTCGTGTACCCAGTGAAGAGATGTATACATATCTAACAATTGACATACACACTCCGAGCCAAATGGAAATGGTGTACGTCGTGATTGTGAGACATATGTGGACGACAAGGAACAAAGTCCATCCATAGGTGTTTTTACCAGGTCTGTCATCATCAAGTCCATACATGACCCGGAAGTGAATAGCGTACAGAAGGTAGGATAACATTGTAAGCATGTCGGAAACGGCTATTCCAGTTAATATTATGTTGATAGGAGTCCTCATTGTTTTTCGCGTCAGGATGACAATGTTGACAATGTTTGCAGGTATACCAAAGCAACACAAAATCACACTTAGATAATCATGAACCCCGTAGTAAAAACAAGCATAAGCGTAAAGACCCACAGGATTGTCACATTGTCCTTCTCCATTGTTGGTCTGGTTTGTCAAATTCATTTCCATTCTTTTCCCTTTGGAATAACTGCAAGAAGAAAAAAAGGTTTTAAAAGTGTATAACACACTTTCTACTACAGTTATTGCCGAGATCAAAGAAATGCCGCTTACATTATTCTTCAGTAAATCACGAACGTCATCAAAATATTATCAGATCAGCAAATCATTCTGTTAACCAACTTTTATTCGCGTGCGATAAATAACCGCGAGTCTCGCGACCTTCTATAACTCGCGAATATTTATCGCCGCGAACCATTTATTTTGATTTGCATTTGTAGAGAATGTTTCGTATGTCTCGAAAAATTAATCGTCGCGGATGGATTTCAAACTGCCAAATCGTGAATAAAAGATGACGCGAATTATAGTTGTTTTAACTATACCAAACCTGTACAGTTGAAATGAATATTTCACTGCAGAATCTAATACGTATTTAGACCGTATCGATGTGTCGTCTTCCGCAGTCTAAAGAGTGTGTATTGGATAAAACAACTGATAAATGTCGGTTTTTATAGCTAAGTTGGGTTGTTCCACGGACTCCCCACAGCTTTTACACTTTGAATTTGACACGTGAATTTACTGATAAAGTCAATGAAGTAGACAACCGATTTTGTTATTTTAGGTGACCTTATTCGTTTCTCTATAGAGGAAACAATCAGTCTTATTTTAGAGCTGTTAGTAGAATAGAAATAAAGTATTTTTTTTAGTGAATGATGAAGGATAACCTCCGAGGTAGAGAAATGTTGTTTGAAATATAAAAGTCTCGGCTTTTATTTTTCAAACAACATCTCTCGATCTCGGAGGTTATCCTGCAACATTCACGAAAACGCGGACTTTATTTCTTAATTAAAAGGGAAAGGACTTACAAGAGTTCATCAAAACACGAGATCGATTGATGATTTATCTTTTGTCTTTGCGTCCTCTTTGGGTCCTTTTTATTTACCGGAACTGTCATTTACAAAACAGTGTTCAATGAGCAGGTAGGATAAGGCCTTATTTTTAAAAGTAAAAGAGACAAGGGCTTAATAATAAATATTCTGTACATGACTATTCCTGAGGGTAAGAATAAATTGAGAGAATGATTTGGACTCAACAATTTTAAGTATTTTAGATAACATCTATAGAATAAAAACAAAAAACTATTCGTTTTAGAATAATACGGCAAATTTCTTGAAATGAACATTAGCTAAATGACGACGTAAAGCTAAGGTCCACATCTGAGGTTTGATTTGGAATTAGCATTACCATACACCAAATATTTCATACTTTAAGTAGCTACAGAGTCTCAGTCTAAAAGAGTATTCCCATAGGTCCTGAGAGTCTGGAAGAGACGTTAATGGTTACTTGACGACAAAACTTTATGGAAAACGTGATGACTTCAACTTTTCTATCGCAGACTCCCCTTATCTGTGTAGAAATATACCATTATCACCTGCATATGGAGTTGATTCGATACGAGCCAGTTGATTCAAACATGCTCTACGTGCTAACAATTTTTAAAGCGAAGCAAACTGTCGACAATAAGTTGATGAAACAAGAATATCAACAGTCCCGTTAAAAGTCAACACATGGCAAATTCTATTGTCGTACAGTGACCTTATCTGCAAATACAATCTATCATTAAGTCCAATGTTGACTGACGTTTTTCATACTAATTGGTTAGGCCACTATTTTCAAATCGATCTCACCTCTGATGTATTAGAGGTCGTCCGTGTTTGCTCTGTTCCAAATTTGTATTGTTTCAATGGACTTTCGAGCTTGATTACTGTTCCTTATCTTCATATTTCATTAATTCATGATCGTAACATCCATTCATGTATCAAGTCGGTATATCCCAGTGAACTCAAAATAAAAGACACCACAGAGTCTGCCACATTTGTTTCATATTTGGATGTCGATAAGGGTCAACTAACAAATAAACTTTATGACAAATAAGATGACTCCAGCTTTTCCATAGTCATCTTTCCTTTATTTTAAGGCCATTCACCTGATCATTACATAGGGCCCCCGGCGGGTGTGACTGGTCGACAGGGGATGCTCACTCCTTCTAGGCACCCGATCCCATCTCTAGAATTTCCAGGGTAATGCCCTCTGCACAGATGTGTATTGTTTGTAGGTTTTACTTTAACGATCGATTACTGTTCGTTATCTTAAATTTTTTTCATAAGGAAAATATAAATATTTTGCTCCGAAATATACACAACTTTTTTCGGTTTAGATAATCTCTGACTCTATCTGTATTGAAAATTCTTCGATGATTCTTTCTTCCATTAAATGCCTTTTATATCTTTTTTAAATTAAAGCAAACCTCGTTGTTCATTTTTCTGTGTTAATGCACATTAAATGCATTACATTTAGTAAAGAAATATGCATTTTTTGTAAACATTGTATCCATTAAGTTTGATGTTTCTAAGGAAACATATAAAACCCTTTCCTCTCTTAAAAGGTTTAGGTTAGATAACTCGGAATTAATGTGCCGCATTATTCTTATTAAAAGAGAAAATATCACAGACGAATAGGCACTATGGAAACAATTACACAGTAACTCATAAATCTGGGGAAAAAACCGAGATGCATTGTTATTTGAAATGAATTCTCCTATTGCCTCAACTCTCCTGTTTATCAACAAGTTACATTTGAACTGCTTCAACGACAAAAGCGACAACAACACGAAAAGCAATAAGCATTAAAATATTCTGTTGCTGTAGTGTATGATAATTTTAACCACCTATTATAAGTGAAGTAAATGCAACAGATTGATGAGTGAACCAACGTCATGTTTTGTTTTTGGTTCATGGATAATTTGAGATGTCTTTTTTCGATTGTCCTAAAATTTTTTTATCCATCTATGCCCCCCCCCCCCCAAAGTTAGAAAAAATTTCTTCAGAGCAAAGTTCAGTCTCACGTGCCTTGATCAATTCAAGATACCGCCACAACTGTAGCATTCTAAAAAGGGGCATTTTTGAAATGGGTCGGTTTTGATTTTTCTTCAATATTAGAATAATCAATCCCCCATATTTAAAAAAAAAAACTAAACAGAATAATACAGAGAATATGGTCCGTCGATTAGGTATCTTGCGCTTTGCAACTCCCGTCACGAGTTGTTAGAACTGTTCTAATAAAGTCAAATTCGGTTTAATCCCACAGCTGAAAAACGTGTTTAAAAGAAGATGTATAAAATATATCGACATGCATTTTTCTGAACTCTGTAAACAGATATTAGGTTAAAAAGTCTCAATAGGTTTTTCATGACTTTATATAGGACTAATCATACACTGTTTCATGACACTTTGAAGTTTTTAATGCACCATTTTATGATATACACAGTATGTCTTTTACATGAAAATCTTACTGCGAAGATGTTAGTACGTAATTTTAATTGTGCCTTGTGGTTGTTTTCAATTTTGAGATTAATATTCTCTTTAAAAAAATACAACTGAAAGTTCGAAAGTTCTATAACTTAAAGTATTATCAGCTGGAAATGGTCAAATTTCAATTTCAATTCCTTCTCTCTGTGGAGTGCAAGTTGCCAACTAAAGATTGACTCAATTTTCTCAAGTGATTAAACATTCCTCAATAATGCAATAAAGGGTGCTACATGAGATTCCATTCTCACTTATTAAATAAGTGCAAGACAAGAAAGTGTTATGGCGCCCCGTATTGTGGGACAAGATATTTGCATTTGAGGAAGAGCGAGTTTCATGATAATTAAATAAGCGTGAACATATATGCATATTACAACTATAAAAGATAGAAAGAAATTAGTGAGAAATAAAAAATAAAATAAGGGTCATATTGTAGCTTGATAGGAAATTGAAATGGATGTCACTAAAAAGAGACATTAAACCCTTTACTCCTGATAATTTCTATCGTTTTTCTACAAGAGTTTCTTATTTGTCTGTCTAATATATCTATTCATTTCTCGAATTGTCATTCGTTTAGGATGGTGATGCAATAGTTATCATATTCTTTTCGTATTTTTTAATGTTTAAAAGTGTGTACTTTAAAGTTTATGTTGAAGTGATAGCTACTGAAACTGTGTCTTAAGATTAGTCGTGCATGGTTTGAGAATCCCATGCAGCTTTGATCGCGAAATTTATTGGTAAGCATTTATTGAAATTTTAGAATTACATTTCCATCATTAAAAATATCAAACAACCTGTTTGGTAATTATTTTTCGTGTTTCTTATTTGATGTTTTATTGAATCTTTTTGGTGGAACCCTATGTCTCCTTACTTTACGGCATACATTATAAAGCCTGCATGGTGGGCATTGCATGGTTTAATTCATTCAATACACGTGGTGCATGCTATAACTCTTGTTTAATGTATAATATCGGTATAAAAACTGCAAACAAAATTTTTTCGAGAAATTTTATACCAAAGCTTTGTTTCCAGCATGCCATAATCAAAAAAAAAAAAAAAACCTGTCCAACCTTAACAAGAAAATAAGGCAGGTAAAAATAGAAATCTACATTAAAATCTTAAAACAATCATTTTCATTACAAATCAGTCAAAGTGATCGTAAAAAAAAAATTAAAAATATATGTTTTGAAAACGTAAAAGAATTCTTTTATGAAAATACCATTGATTTTATTTTCTATGACTATTAACAATTTGAAGAATTATTTATTCTGTAATGCAATCTTCAGTTGAATTTCTTATGTATTGCACACAAGGAACTGATCATTTTCTGCCTAGTTTTAGTTGGTATGTGAGCATGAAAGCATTAGGATTTTGAGCTTGATCACTGTTCTTTATCAATTCATTACTGGAAAGCTTGAAAATAATGTTTTTATTATCTTCAAGATATAAGCATCATTCCTAAGGGTTACCTGCTGGGGTTATAAACTGTATCGTTATTGTTAATTATGTGTGTTATTGTTAATTATGGTAATTAGTTTAAACCGTAAACGCTAATAATTAACATTACTGAAGTAGAAAGGCAAGTGATCATAACCTTGTTTTACTGATGTATTGTGAAACTTTTGCGGTAATTTTTTAAACCATGAGATACTTA